AATAAAATTACAAATAATTTAATCAATGAATAAATATAACCGATCCATGGAACCATATAATTAACGACCAAATTCACCATCCATACATTCATCAATATGAATTAAAATAAACATCCATAAATGCAAGTGTCTACCCATCATATACATACATAATTAAATATCACATATTTAATATATTAATTATGATTATCAAATAATCGAAGCATAAATTAATATCGTCTATAGACCTCTCTGATACCAATTGTTGGTAACTGAATCGAATTCAGCTGCGGAAGCGTAGGGAGTGGCAGATCGTGTATAACAAAAATTTCAAAAAAACTTTTGAGATACTCCATAAATTATATTAATTTATGTACGAATAAATTAATCGCATTAATTTACATCAAGAACTCAATCCGGAAAAATACCTAAAAACCGACTCGGATAATAACTTGAGTTCTTTGACCACGAACAGTCCTTACTCCAAGTTTGTGTTTAGAATACCCAAGTATTCCACGTCAATTCCTTGATTACAGGTAGACGTGTATGGGGGCACACGTGAGACAAAACAGGTTTCTTAAACACTTGAATTTTCACAAACACCAACGCATGCTCGATGTGAAATTTTTGGAGAAAAATATTTTGCTCTCTTTTTTCCTTGAGAAATTCGGCCACCAATCTAATTAGGGCAAAAAACTGTTTCAAAAATTGTGTCCACAATTTTCTATCATTCTCATATTTAAATAGTAGAAGTTAAACTTCAAAACAGAATCAAATCTCTATCTCCAATTTTAAATTTGGAACAAAAAATCTCTTCCTATTTATCCATTAGTTGGCCGGCCACATCATTAGGGTTTTACCCTGTGTGTGGCGCCAATAACAGATAAGGAAGGAAGAGATTTTATTCTTTATCCAATAGTCCAATTTTAATTCAAATTCAAATTCGAATTTAAATCAAACTTAAATTAATTTGAATTTTAAATTGAACAACTTATCAAATAATTTTAAATGGATAAATCTAAATGTGTTCAAATTCAAATTTAAATAATCACATTATTTAAATAATTAATTCTCAATTAATTATTTTTTCGAGTATTCAATTTTAAAATTTCGTAATTCTAAAATTCTCATTTTACCCTTTGTGTCTGGTAAAATTACAAGGACGACGCAGGGACTAATGGACCTATAATCCCGAGCTCCAATAAAATTAATAATTAATTAAATATTTTAATTAATTAATTAATTATATTAATTCTAATAATTACTCCACTATAAACTTAGAATTGAACTCTCAAAATTATATACATTAATTACTTCTAAATTGTGAAGTGCCCATTTGATATAGTCATTACATATAGATCAATCCTCCATAAATAATTCATAATTAGAGTCAGGTAAAATCCGTTAACCTCTCTAATTATATCTGCATCCTTGAGTACCATTGATTCTCTAATGGATAGTGATTCATAAAACACATTCATAAACCAGAGCGCTCTTACTAATCCAAGTACCGAATCAACACTCAAAAGAATTATTTATCTACTTCTTTCTTAAGAATGAATGGATTCCATCTCGTATAATAACATTCTCAGCTACCTATTTCATTATGTCTCCAAAATACAAGGAATAAGATTCAGGGTCTCAGAATCCGTACCGAGTAAATCAAAAGACATAAATCCATAAATAGGAGTTTGTTAAGAACTCAAGATTAAGATCATCCTATATATGACTATCGGTAGACTCAATTAGAATTTCTATGCTTTAACGAAAATTATTAGAAATTCATATTGTGTTTGTGTCCTTGTTCCACATAATCTTATTATGCGAAATACACTCATTCAATATCTCGTCATATTAACAGTGCGGATAACACCGTTCCATTCTAAATGGGAATGACATGTATTAATAATGTTTTAATTAAAGATTCTGAACTTTAATTAAATTCATCATGAACAATATTTTTTATTATTATCCTTAAACACTATCCTCTTGTATATAAATCTTATATACTATGTTTAAGATTACATAAACAATCACGAAATTTTCATTTGATATTCATAAAATATTCATAAATATATGCACATAAAATAATAAATAAACTTTTTTATTAATTAAATAATAAATATCCTATTCTAAGATACTATTCCCAACATCAAGCACATTAGAAATTAAATTGTTCTCTCATTATGGACCAATATTATATGTACATGCATGTGTTAATTTACATTCAACAATTATCCATAAGATGATTTAATTAATTACAGAGTGAATTATTATAATTATGAAAGTCCATATAAAAATAATCCAACAAAATCAACTTGTTTAAATTGATGCTAAGAAAAGTTAAAAAAAAATGTTTAGATTTGTGTTATAAAATTCCTTCACATTGCTGAATGTATGATAATCTAAGAGGGTCACTAAAAAAAAGAATGAAAAAACATTTTGGAAACTAGTATAACCAAGTACAAATTTAGATAATACGAGCTGTATTTCGCGCGTTGCTGCCAAATACAGTATAAAACATTGATGCATATTAGATCTATTCGCAATATAATGTTGTATCATGTGAAAGATTTACATATTTATAAATATATACATATGCAGTATTGTAATTCAAAATATATTTACATGTATATACAAACGTATATACAATATAAAACACTGATAGTTATTAGATTCATCGTGCTCTTCTTTTTAACTGGAAGATAGGAATGTTAAAGAAAGAAAAATCAACTCGGAACGAATTTCATTGGCCAATTGTTCCAGTTCCTGCATAGACCAACCTGTAGTGAGTCCAGAAGATGTAAGCTTTTAAGAGTAAAGCATGCCAAAACAGATGTTTTCAAAGGCCTCAAATGACTAACTTTGGAAGACAAATTCTTCAAGTTGATAGGACTTTCAACCAAATCAAGAATGGGTGTTGAGACTTTCTCAGGGAAGAAATCATCAGCATCAGGTGCAGAACATATTCTACTTATTAGTCCCTGCATCGAGAAGAAAACAATTACTGGTTTAACTGTAAAGGGACAAAAAATGCTAATTTTGACTTGTTAAACTACAATAACAATATATCTTTCATGCTCTATATCCAAACCATAATTTTTTCTAAAAAAAAAAAAAAACATAATTTTGATATTTATCGGATAAGACTGGGAAACTTTTAAAACATCAAAAAAGTCGTATGCAACAAAAACTTGAAACCTTTTTTCCAAATGTAATTTCATTCCCAAAAATTTGCGTGCACTATTGGATTGTAATAATAAGAAAAATTAAGAAAAAAATTTGAGTGGCAAGTAAATTTAAAGCTAACAAAATTCAGAGCAGATAAAATCCTACCCCCAGAGCAAAAAAAAAAAAAAGAAGATAAAATCATACCTTGGATGTAGTGATGGAAGCAGAGTTACTTCTTAGAATTTCCAGATGAAGAGGAAAACTGGAAACTGAAAATTCAATATATTGGGGTAAAGCCCCGGATTTCCCATGAGAAGAATAGGCCAAAGTGCCAAATGGGTACCCAACAGAAGCAGTACCTATCAGAGAAAAAGAAGGGGTTTTTTATATTCTTTTATATATTTTTCCAGAAATGGCCGAACCAAAAACTGGATCAGTTTCAATCGAATTTCACAGTTTTAGAACTCGCTTGCCGAAAAAAAATTGTTTTAAGAGTAACAAAGGAATAAAGCTAATAGATAAAACCGTAGGATTAGCATTTTTTGTGTGCAAGAGATAGAAGAAACGTCGAAAAAGAAGAAAGAAAGAGTCAATAAAAGGACCGCTCAAACGGCAGAGAAACTGAGAGGGAGGTGAAAAATTTTGCCTCTGAAGGAAAGAGAGAGAAATCTGGGCAAAAATTTGAAAAAATGGACAGCTCTAAAAGGTTGCAGAAGAAAAAAAAAATGTAAGAGAGAAAAGTAGATCTAAAAACAAAGAAATATAAACACATATTTAGAAGATCGTGGAAACGAAGGAACGGAAAAAAAAAAAAAAAAAAAGAAAACCCTACTCAATCTAAGTACATAAAAATAATAACAGATCTAGAAGGTTGCAGAAGAAAATAAACGGAAGAAAGAAAAAAAAAAAACCCCAATCTGAGTGAAAAAAAATACCGTAGAAGATTACAGAATCAAAAAAACGAAAGAGATAAATGACTACAGAAAAAAAGGAAGAAAAAATCGTCGAAATCAACAAACGAAAAGAAAAAAAAACCAGGCTGAATTTCGAAGAAGAACTCTAGAAGGTTACAGAAGAAAACAAAAGAGAGAGACAGAGAGAGACCACTACATAAAGAAGTGAAGGAAAACAAATAAAAAAGAAACAAACGAAATAAACCAAAATCATCACTAAATGACCAAAACGGTCACAGCAAATAGAAACACAAAAATCTGAAATGAAGGGTAATATAGTAAATTTACACTCAACAGGACATAACGGTAATTAAAATTTCAACGGAAGAAAAAAATATGATTAAAACGGGAAAGACATTGTTCATTACACTGTGATATGAACAGTAAATTCCTTAGTACACGTATAATATAAAATATCTATATCCCTGTTTATTTTAACAATCTAAACTCTTGTTTAAAATTTAAACTGTAATTTATGATTCAAATTGATATTTCAAAAAAAAAAATTAAGAATAATTTAAAACATTAACAATAATTCAAATTCTTAATTTTAAAATTCACCACGCTCTAACGGGGGCTATTTGGGCCCTGTCAACATGACGCCATGGTAAATGGTAATCTGCGATTCTGCTATTCGAGGGAAAAAAATCCGAAATACCTAATAAAAAATATTATTTATATCACATTAAAAATATACAATTGCCATTATAAAAAATAATAATAACACTTAATTATTTAAAATAATATGAATAATACGTCTGACAAACCAACTCTTAAGAGAGGAGAAGACTTCCCTCATTCTTGTTTCAAGTTTCGCGCTGCCGCTGTTTTGGCTTATCCGAGGGATTGAGCTTTTGGCGAATGCGATTTACATCATTTTTTTTTTCGGCAATTCGACAATTACGATTAGGTTTGTGATCTCTCTCTAACCCAAGTTCTTGTCTTTCTGGATTTTTTCCTTGTAAATTCGCGATTGTGTTCTCCGTTCTTTTCTTTTCTTTTTCATTTGGAGATTGTTGGATTTCAAAGTATTTGGAAGTACAGAATTATTTCTCGTAGTTGTTAATCCTCGCTTCCTGATATCTGACAAAATTATAATAAATCGACACTTTTTGGTTTCAAATATTTCATCTTTTATATAACTTTTCACCAGCTGAACTGACCCTTTCATTTTAGAATAAATCGATTTGTTTTTTCCATACCTTTTCGTTTTATTATTGAAGAAAAATTGAAGGGCTTTTTTTGTTTTGTTTAGAAATGGTAAGAAAAGAAAATCAGAACACTTACTTTACCAAATTTCGTTACTTTATTTTCAATTATAATTCATTTTTCATGTCATTTCAGGTATGTTGAGTTCACTTGATGCTGTCCTAGTTCCTAGCTTAACTTGCGTTTCTTCTTGGTTTTTCTTTGTTTAGATAACATTTTCAAACCATGAATGGCAATAATAATATCTCTTCAAAACAAGTCATTGCAAAATTGACTGAAATGGGGTTCGAGAATTCGAATGCCGTTGAGGCAGTGAAAGTAGTGGGTCCATCAGTTGATGATGCAGTTGAATATATGTTGAATGGATGCCGCAGAAACAATCATACCGCAACTAGTAGTAGTATTTCTACAAATCCCGCAAAAATTATCAAGTCTTCGGGTCAAAAGAGGCAGTCTACCATATTGGAACATTTCCAATCCATAAATAAAGCCAATAGAGTTGTGACTGGGGTTGTGGAACAAAGAAAAGAACCTTATTCGGGCGACAATTATTGCCTCGAGAGATCATCGGGTTTGATTCCAGTTGATTGCTCAGATGAGCTAGACATTGGGGCAGATTGGGAACAGAAAGTGAACTGTCTATTGCAAAAGCAGTTTGGTTATTTGTCCTTGAAAGGTTTTCAGAGAGAGGCCTTGACGGCGTGGTTAGCTCGCCAAGACTGTCTTGTTCTTGCCGCGACGGGTTCTGGTAAATATTATCTGCTTGCCTTTGTTTCTGCTTCCTTGTTGTTGTATGATTGTATTTGGTGGAATGCAGGTCCTTATGGTCAATTACCTTTTGGCAGGGAAGTCTTTGTGTTTCCAGATTCCGGCATTGTTGACAGGAAAGGTTGTGGTTGTGATATCGCCGCTAATAAGCCTGATGCATGATCAGTGCTTAAAACTGGCAAAACATGGGGTCTCTGCTTGCTTTCTTGGATCTGGGCAGCCTGATAGTACTGTAGAAAAGAAAGCAATGAGGGGCATGTATAGCATAATATATGTTTGCCCTGAGACAGTTTTAAGTTAAGATATCTATAACACTTTGTTTTATGATTTGTGTGCGCGCAAGTTTTTTTCAACTTAAGATGTTAATCTGCTGTGCAACAGACTGATCAAACCACTTCAGGGGTTGGCAGAAAGTTGTGGAATTGCACTATTTGCAATTGATGAAGTCCATTGTGTTTCCAAGTGGGGTCATGATTTTCGACCAGACTACAGGTTTGTCAGTTTCCATAAGTTTTTTTTTTCCTGTCGTATTTCTTGACATCAGCACCATGTCAGTTGTTTGATTTGTGTTACACTTGGTATCATACTAATATGAATGGCTAAAACATCATTTTTCTTGAGACTACCCATGTCTTTGTCATTCATATTCATATGCTAACATGAATACCGAAATACCTACTGTTGTCTTTGTTGTCCCCTGAAGTTTTATCACAAATATCTGTTGCATGTGTTCATATGTTTCAGGAAATTGTCTGTGCTGCGAGAAAACTTTAGGGCTAGCAGTTTGAAATTCCTAAAGTTTGATATACCAGTGATGGCATTAACTGCTACTGCCACAGTACGGGTTCGAGAAGATATTCTAAAGTCATTGTCCATGTCAAAAGAAACAAAGGTTGTAGTTACCTCGTTTTTTCGGCCAAACCTGAGGTTTTCAGTGAGTACCCCGTTTTCTTTCCTTTCCTGATTTCAGTATTTTTATTCTCTGTATAGTTCCAGAGTTTGAAATTTTCAAATAGATGGCTTATTGTATTTCCTAATAGCTTTTAACAATTTTTTTTTTACACTGCTGTGTCTTGATGTTTCATCATTTCCTCTAATATTATCTCTGTTTACTAACATCCATAGTTGCTTCTGTATTATAGGTTAAACATAGCAGAACATCTTCGCCATCTTCTTATAAGAAGGATTTCCAAGAATTGATAAACATATATGCAAGAACAAGAAAAGCTGGTGAAAAGAAACAAATGATCTTCTTACAAGAATCAAATACTGCATCTGATAGCATATCAGAGGTAGATGCTATTTCTGAAAATGATTTGAGTGATGTCGAGGAGGGATACTCTGAAAGTGATGATGGAGTTTATCCAACAAAGCAACATGGTTCTAGAATTTCAAAGGGAAAAGAAATGTCGGTTGAGTACTTGGAAAATGAGGTTGATGTCTTTCAAAGCGTCGACGATTGGGATGGTATTGATGTTCACAATTTAGCATTTGTCTTTTTTCTATATCATTTGGTTTTGTTATTAAAAAACCTTCGTAATCTGCTTTCACTGTTGGATATTATTGTGTTTTCTAATATTCTGTGTCTATTTCTGCAGTTGCCTTCGGAGAGTTCTGTGCAGAATCTCCTCATTGTGACTGGAATATCACTGGGCCATCTGAGACATTGGATCCACCAAATAGACCGGAAGATAGACATCAATTTCTTAATCAGAACTTGGGACAAGGACCAACTATTATATACGTTCCCACAAGAAAAGAAACTTTGAATATTTCCAAGTTTCTTTGTGGGTGTGGTGTGAAGGCTGCTGCTTATAATGCAACGGTATGTGTTAGATATAATAGCATTTTAGATTATATGGATGGTGTTATACGCATGTCCTGTGACAATCGAATGTGCGATCTTCGCACTACTTACTAAACCAATTTCAATATCTGAATAAGAATTCGTGTCATAAATGCCCAAATGTCTGTCATCTTATGAGACTGGTAAGGAGCATATTTGAATTTACTTGAGAAATGTTGGCTGCATAACCATTTCTGGGGTTGAATATAATTGGCTGGGGATTGAATGGATCTTTAAAGCAGTTTCAAAAAATTTAAATATGTCCTCATGCCAAGGTGGGTGATAGGCCCTGTTTTTCCAATTCGTATAAAATTTGATTCAGCACATACTTTCTAGTAGTATTCTCTAAAAACTGTTTTCTGAAGCAAAATAGTCTATGCTATCCTTGAAGTATGTCATCTATTTGGATGCAACTAATTTACAAGCGTATTCGTCCAGTTGCCAAAACAACATCTGAGGCACGTTCACAAGGAGTTTCATGAAAACACGCTAGAGGTATGAATTTCAGACTTAATCAAGGATGCTAGACAGTCTAAACTTTATTGTTCATCTGTCTTTCTCTTCTTCTTTGTCTTCTTTCTTTACACTTTAGATTATCTTTTTCTACCATCAAAGACATTTACCAACTATTATGCCCAAGTAATGGAAATTTTTGTATCAAAAAAAATTTTTTTTTTAATAAACCTATGATATTTAACTTCTTGAATTTCTTAATTTTTCTTTTAATGTCGAATTTGGAGATAGAGATTATAGTTTCTCATCTGATGTTTTCCTTTACCCTGACGTGCAGGTCATTGTAGCAACAATTGCTTTTGGAATGGGGATTGACAAGTTAAATGTCCGAAGGATTATCCACTATGGTTGGCCACAGGTGTTCATTTTAAGTTGGATTTTCTTTGATGTTTTATCGTGTCCATCTCTAAT